CTGCTACTGCTATTGCTATTGCTATGGCTACCACCACCGCCGCCGCCGCCGCCGCCGCCACCACCACCACCACCACACGCCCGCAAAGGAGCCATGGCGGAGAACCCCCTCCCCACCGGTGCATGCCATTGACTGCTGATATCTCAGACCTGAGACCCAAAGACAGTTTGAGAAGCTACCGTGGATGAAAGTCAACTTGCCAGCCCCAACCAAGCCCACCGTGAAAGCCAGCGGAAGCCAGAAAGCTGCTTGGTGTCAAATCTGAGCGCGCGACCATTTCGGAGAATCGTCGTCCTTGAAGTTAATGGCAGTCACCACGAGCTGTTCCTGAAGAAATGGAGACTGGCGAGAGCACAGTCCGGTGGATTACCGCCAACCATGTCTCAAAGGCTGGCAATTACGGGCGGACATGGGCTGACAAAAAAGGGAAAATTCGCCGTCCCACACCACCAACTCGAAGTAGATGCTCCTGCCACGGACCTAGTTGCGGGTGGCCCCAGGCTCCAACCCGTTGCAAATTTGACAGGACACGTCTAAAGGGCACACACTCCACATGCGTATTGTTGCCCTTTCCCGCCCTGATCATCGATCTCCACAGCGCTCCTCGGATTAACTGGAACCCTCCACCTAATTGAGCCCAAAAACACAGAAATTCTGCAAACGAGAGCGCCACCTTAAATTCCAGGGTAAGCTCGTGGATTAGTGGCGGCGCAGACATCATGGCTCCGGGCCTCGGGCCAAGACTCGCACCGTCGCAAGAAGCGCTGCTCCGATAAGAAAGGACCCTTACTAGCACTAATATTGCTATTACGTACTTTTATCGACGGCTTTGCTACTGGGTACAGCAGTAACTTGGTAGTCGATTGAACATCTTTCCTCATTGACACAAGCCCAGTCGCCCTTTTGCGGGAAGCAAGATGAGTGGCCGGCTTTGCGGTGCCAGAGTGCAGCATCCCATAAACGTGGACCTGAGCGACAAAGTCAGAGTCGCCATGGTAGCTGTAGCACCACGACAAGTCAAGCGCAGCGGCATGTCCAATTGTAGCTACGACCCTGGCACCTACAGAAGCGGGAGCACCCGGAGCATTTGCAGGGAATTCGCTAGATGTATACCAAGTAAAAGAAAGGTACGATTCGCAGCCTGCTAGCTGCAAGCCATCGTCCAAGTTAGATCCGCAAAAGATTTTGCCATGTACACCTGAAGCTCACCGCCTCCGCCATGACACCACACGTCACCAACACACAGAAAGAATACTGTAAGTTGTGGTGGTGCTGGCGCTGGTGGGTTCTGCTTGTCGTCGTGGTGGCAAAAGTAGCTGGCAGTGGCAGTAGAAGTTGCGGCAGAAGCGGCGACGGCACAAGTAGCAGCAGCAGTAGCCGGAGCGGGAGGAGGAGCAATAGGGGCAGGAGCAGGATCAAAAGCAGCAGCAGCAGTAACAGTTGGAGCAAAATCAGCAGCAGCAGAAGCAGCAGCAGCAACAGTAGTGGTGGTAGTAGTAGTAGTAGTAGCAGCAGCAGCAGCAGTAGCAGGAGTTGCAGCAGAAGCAGTAGGAAGTAGCGGCAGTGGCAGTAGTCGTTTTTGCAGTCGTCGTGGTGGTGCTACATAGCGGTAGTGGCAGTGTGGCTGCGGTAGTGGCGTTGGCAGTGGCGGTTGCATCGTCGTCATCGTCCCTGTCATGGTGCAGCTGACAGTAGGCATAGTACAAATAGTACCGATCCCAAACTATGGTAACATACCCGCAGGAGAGTACTTGCATTGCAGGCTCCAACTCCCAGCCGTGATAATAATATCCTTCCCGACAATATCCACAACCACACATAAACTGGCATTTTCAGCACAGCCCATGCATGGCGAACAGAGGCTGTGCAAAGAGACCAATTGAGATACTTCTGCTATTCAGTATGGGTGTGTTGCGTGCTCCACGACTGCGGCGACGATGTAGAATATCAGCAGATGTGGTGCGCACGCCCGCATCGCTCAACTCCGCACTGCACGGCCCTCCTGTTGCACTCCCACCTGACGCGAGCTCGCCACGGCCAAACGCCGTGTGCCAGTTGCCCAGGGTGGTGACTGGGCACATGTTGCAGCTAACCCGCTATAGTAGCTGGTGACACTGCCAAAGACAAGTGTGCAGCTGCACTCGGCTTGGCACAAACGCAATAAATCGCGGCTCAGCCAGTGTAATCTCGGCCTGAGCATTGCACTTACACCACCACGTGTGTTGAATCCAACGAAAATCAACGAGGTTCCGATGACTCCAGCGGTGGCCAGGCTTCCGACCTCCGCCTGGCTGAACTCGGGCGCATCCGGAGAGAGCCCATGGCTTTGGCCATCCTGTCGCCACACTGCGAAATACGAGCAATGCGTGCCTTCAACCCGCAGGCAAACTGCACCGCAAGTCTCCATGTCCATGGAGCCCTGACATAGCTTGAATGCCTTCTCGCGGATGCTGCAGCACATGCTGCGGCTGATCGGAGCGCCCATCTCCTGACATGCACAAGCTCGGGTGGTTCAGAGAAGTGCGACTTTCCCAACTTCAATCTGCTGCTGTGCCTCGACCTGTTCAAGATCAAGCACAATCTAGACTCTAGACCTAGCCCTTCCATTCCAACAAGTCGCCGTCCTCCACGCCGGCAGAGGCCGATTCTTTGGAGAAGCAGCGCTGCAACGATTGCCCGGCAAAGCTGCACAGCCCCTCCGAACTTTCCCTGGACTCGTCTTGTGTATGTAGGTACCCCCGTCGTCATGCTGCTCACCTTTTTCAGTGGTTCGGCTATGCCGCGGTACTGCTTTGACCACATCATAATTTTCAAAAATCAGGCCCTGAATCCCTGCAGCCACATTCATCTTGACCTATGTACTTGCACCCCCGCTTAAAAGAACTGCAAGTTACGGCATCACAGCACCGTCAAGCTACATGGCAGACTGACCGGAACCGTAGTGTTCAATCTGCGGCGCAATCCCTCATAGCACCGTCCGCCAAACACTTCAACACATCGACTCATCTACACATGATACCGTTCTGCCATGTTTTCAGCCGAAATGAACCACATGCTTTCATGACATCGCATGCATTGTTTTGGAACGCGGTGTAAGCATGTAAGCACCTGCCTTGCCCTGCATTGGCTTCCCTCGAAGTCTTGGGATCTACAAGCAGACTCTTTGCTCTTCTGCAAAGGCTGTGTGCACTGCCGCCAATTCTTCAAATTAGGCAAGGGATGGCAGGGTGCAATCAGTAAACAGCCAAGAGTCGATGCTTGGCAAACTTGCAGAACCCTTGCTGAAAGCTGTCTTCGCTGGCCTACAAAGGGGGTTCGCATTTTACACCGGAATGGCAGATTCGAAATTAAACTACTGTAGCCGTTAAGCCGGTGTTCCTGCTTGACCGGTGCCAGATGTCACCGCCGGCCTAATTCCGGGCGAAAGTGCTGCAACCTCCATGTGCAGGGTAGGGTACTTGTGACCCGGTGATGGGGACGGAGGCCCTCAGTCGCTGTTGGTCCTGTTCGCGTTGGTGTCGTCGTCCGAAGAATCCGCCTGGCGCGTCTGCCCTGTGAGTCCACGGTATGTCTCTGCAGTCTGCCTCATCGCTTCAGCATGTTTGCTGCTTGTGTTCCTCGTGCCAGGACCTACTCCTCCTCCTCCTGCTTCCTCCTTCTCTTCCTTGCAGCAGAAGCAGTAGGTGTAGCGGCAACAGTAGCAAAAGCAGTAAGTAGAAGTAGAACTAGATGCAGCAGCAGGAGGAGTAGGAGTGGGAGGAGTAAGAGTAGGATTCGTCGTAGAAGTGCTACTTGGTGGTGGTAGTGGTGGTGGTGGTAGCAGTAGCAGTAGCAGTGGCAGTGGCAGCGGCAGTGGCAGTGGCGCAGCAGTAGTAGTAGGAGGAGGAGGAGGAGTAGCAGTAGCAGCAGCAGTAGCAGCAGCAAGAGCAGTAGCAGTAGCAGTAGCAGTAGCAGTAGCAGTAGCAGTAGCAGTAGCAGTAGCAGTAGCAGTGGTGATGGTGGCGGTAGAGGAGGTAGTAGACGTAAGCCGTCGCAGTGCTCCGAGTGCTGCTGCCTCTGCCATCACTTTCACTCCTGTCTCTCGTTTCGCTCCTCTTTCTCCCCTGCCTGTTATCGACGCCACGAGCCACCACAACGGCTACAGAATTAATCAACACGCAGGATCAGTATACAACGGGCGCACCCCCACCCGACCACAAGAATGCCTGCTCTCTCAGCTGCTCCTGCTGGCGCTCCTACAAAAACGACTGTCTCTACAACTCGACCGCGGCTAGCAGCCATCACACGAATTACACCTTCGTCGGCTGGCTTCCGGGTTGGTTGCTTTGCCTGTGCACTGCCGATCAGCTGAAATGCTCTATGGGTAGCTAGTGCTTTCTCGGTAGTCAATGCGGGTTGACCCTCTTGCAGTTCGGCAGGGGCCTCGACCGAATTTTCTCGCTGGCCTGGGAAGACCGCCTGCGGCGCCTCCCCCACGAGAAATCCTGGCAAAATCTGGGACGACTTCTTCAATGCGTTGAGGCTTTCTTCAGGCACCGGTCCAGCTGTTGCGTTTGACTCTTTCCTCTCTAGTGACGTAGACGAACCACTTGTAACAATCGTGGGCTTGAGGCTACAGTCTACAGCCGATGCCACAATCTATTCGCTGCATTTCTGCTTGTTCTCTCGAAAACAAGACCAGAGTCCTGGAATACAGCATTGTCGCAAGACTTCCAGAAAATTGTGTGTGTGTGTGTGCTGTTTTGCTTTTTGCCTGGCAACTTTGTTTCCTTTGACTTGGGCTAGCTTGCTTCCACCTGACATTGTTGCTTGTGCGTGGAATTCGAACGAGCCATCATCTTTGTATTGCCTCAAATTGCTCTGCAACCTTTTCAAACAGCCTGCTTCGCATCTCCGATGACACACAAATCTACAACATTAATTACTAGGTCGTGCTGCTTCCCTCTGAATCATAGTGGTTGGATACTTGGATTTCCGTTCGGTTACGTGTCGGTTAGGTTTGACTTATTCCATAACGTTCTGTGGCTCAAAGAATGAGGAAATGTTCCTTCACTGGCCGTAGTACATAAAGTATGTTCAATTGGTACCAGGCCAAGTCGCGCTACTACCGGGTTTTGTCTTGGCATTTAAAGATGGCAAGCGCACGAAAACGCAGCGGTCAACTTACAGCTTTAAGCCTAATCGTTTTGTGAACGTTGTAGGGTGCAGGCCGTTCGCGCCCAAGCCCTCAGCAATGAACGGCCAAAACTCACCTGGGATGGGGAGTGCTGTGCATCACGGCTCAGCCATGTAAGCTGACACACACAACCCGTGAGAAAGTTCGAACATCTCCCAGTGCTATCTGACTCTGAGACCCCGAGACATTATCGTGCAGGGTTGCTGAGAGCGAGGCTTATCGAAATCTTGATGCTGTGCGCGCAGTTGACATGCAAATGCGTGCATCGCAGCCACATGTAAGGCCTTGGCT